TTAAAAAATTCCTAAAAAATTTGTTTTGTTATAATAATGATTTTAAATTAAAAACTAACAAAGATTTTAATTGTTTTTTTCAAATTTCTATAGATTTTAAGTTTATATCAATTTAAAAGTTTTTTGAGATTATTTTTATAGATGTTAAATTACAACAAATCATTTTATGATAAAATTATGCAGTTTGATTTAAAATGATTGTGGTTTTCTCGAAAGAAACACAACAAGAAACTTATTATATTTTTCTATCATGTAATCAAACTAACTTCTTACCTTACTACTTACAAAATTAATAAATAATTTAAATTAAAATAAAAACCTCAAATATTCACATAAAAAAACCGTGTAATCACATTAAAATAATTAATAATTTAAAAATGTTAATTGCCAACTACCGAGTTGTTACTAATTGTTACAGAGTTTTCAAGAATATTTTAAGTAATAAAGGGAAATAATTTACAAATAAAGACATTTTTAAATTGAGAAAAGTTGTACTTGGGCAGATCGGGGTGGCATTAAAACTATATTGAATTAAAAGTAGGGTTGAATTTTAGCCCTACGTATTCAGATTAGGGCTGTTTTAAGTAACAATGTTTCAATGTTATATATTCAAATAATAATTAATAAATATTAATAAAAAGTGGCTAATAAAATTTAGCTTATAAAAATAAATGCATGTTTCCAAACATTGAAAGTTTTTTTAAAAAATATATAGAGTTTTAGTTTGTCTTTTAATTAGATATATATTTATATAGATATATATACATAGATATGAATAGATATCTTTATATAGTTTTAGACTTTTCTTCAGAAACTTTTTATTCAATTTATAAAACGTGTGTTTTTCCGATAAGCTACAATAAGTTGTGTTATGGTAATTAAGTTAAAATCATTTGTGTGAAAATTCACAAATGAATTTGATTTAATTACTGTATTTGCTCTTTGTAAACATCTTACAAATTATATATTTTACTTGCTCATGAGCTTTGTAAGATTCTTACAAATTATATATTTTATTTGCTCATGAGCTTTGTAAGAATCAAATTATATATTTTATTTGCTCATGAGCTTTGTAAGAATCAATTTACATATCTTATTTGCTCATGAGCTTAAAATCCTATGCTAAGAGTTTTTCATTTTCAGTTTATATTCATTTTGTTTAGATCTAAATAACTTTGTTTAACATTTTTATTCTTAAAATAATAATTCTAGTTTTTAACATACTTCTAGGGATACTGAATCTAAAAGTCGTTAAATCTATTTCCAATTTGTAGAAACTTCATTCATAATACCATCTGCTGTAATTTATTTAATTGAGTGAGTCTTTGAAAGATATTGACTCACTTTTTTTGAATCTATTTTTTTTTCCATTTAATATATTGATACTTAGTCTCAGAAGGGCATCCATGCAATGTACTATTTCCAGAAGTGATAAGGGGAAAATCAATTTGGTCAGTGAAAAAGACAATATTGTTGAAAGCTAAAAGAATGTTAAAAGGACCACCAAGATAGACAAGAACCAGTGAACATCCATTAAAAATGTTGGAGTCTCACTAACCTTTGGAAAAAGTTTGTTAGGCCCGAATCTAAAAGGTTATGTCCATCAATTGAAGCTGCTTTTCTCTGGAGAGTTTGTTGTTTTCTTTGCTCAATGTGACTTCAAGAGAGATTTCATTAAGTAAAAATGCTATCATTGCACAACACATATCAAGTGTGAAAAAGCAAGGAATAATATTTGGAACAAACCAATACTTAAAAGATAACATTAAATAACCTGGTAGAAGCAGTTCATGTTCATCATACTTCATGCATGGTTAGAAGCAGTTGAGTTTAAGCAAATATATACAACTTTCGAAACCAAAAAATGTCATTGCAACAATATTATTTAAAGTTGTCATCAATATTAATTCTACTGAATATAAACAGCTCATTTAACATTTCTCAAAACTTGAATTTTCAATTATTCCAAATGAACTGAACTGGTTTAAGCAATTAGCAACTGAAGAGATGAACAGGAATGAAATCAAGAACCACAAGAAACAAGTGATATATTTAAACAATTGTTTAAATAACAGAAACAGGTACATTTTGTGGGATAGGAATAATTACCATCAATAAAATCAAGCTGGATTGTTCAGTAAATTCCCAGAATTGAGGCAACTTTTACCAACAGCAGCCTTCGCTAAAATCCATGGTATAGAAATTGTGCTATATCATAAATTGCACAGATAAGAAAGTTTTTAATTCAAAGCAACCTCCAAGGTTACAGCAACCCTAGTACTAAACCCTAGTATAAAACTCACATGCAAAGAAAGTTTAAACCCCATGCATAAGTATTAACCAATCACTTTGATTAAAAGCTTTTAACATCATCCATGCAGGAAATCTCTCTATTGTTTGCAGGCTTAGCTTTCATACACTAAAGAGTCTTCTGAGAAGTATTCATAAGGTCATGAAAGGAACAGACTATAGACTTCTTCTGATTTCTTTTTAGTGACTTGAAATTGAAAGAGCAACAAAGATACAGATTTTGGCTGCATCAGCATTAATATCATTATTAATGGAAAAAATCAAAGTAGAAAGCGCTTCAACGATAACAACAATAGTTTTATAAACACACTTATTATGGAAACCTGACGAGAAGATGCTTAATGAATTAGTAACATGTGACAGTATAAAAAAAAAATAACATGTGACAGTATAAAGTCAAAATTGAAAGAAAACTCTGGAACATCTAGAATGTTGTACAACAGTGCATGGACTATACCAATATTACTAAAGCACTTATTTTTTCAGAAAGAAATTGCACCTTAATGTTCTATTAAAAATGCTAAATTTGTTTATAGCTACAGGAAGAAATAAAACTTCCAGAAATGCATCCATGGTTATATAAAGAAATTACAAGTAGCAAACATACTGTGCAACAAACCAAGCAAAATTAGAGTGGCATCTGGACAAGTCCTGCAATCGAACAAACCATGATGGGATATATAAATTCAATGGATGGATTGACAAGTGCCCATGTCACAACAATATCTGTCCATCATGTATGGACATTAAGCCTTTACTTTAGTACCAAATAGCTTCACAAATAGCTTTAGTACACAATGTAATGACTCAACAAACAGGCATATCAGCAAACTCCAGTCTAAGACTCCTTGTTGCATGCAAAGGTAACAAAATAAGGAAATGATAGACCCAAGTATAATGCTTAACTGGCTAATAACTGTCATATTAATTAAAAATTATTTTGAACTTTGAATTTTGATTGACGAGACTATTTCACTTTTTAGACAAGGCATGATGAGAAAGCCTAGATTAGAAAGGCATGATGAGATAAACCATCTCTTGGAAAAGTGATAATGGGTGACAAATGTTTCTTAACGTTTAAAACAACCAGGATATTTGACTGTATAATTGCTCTGGTGATGCTGATGTGCTGTTTTGAAAACTACTCTTGATATCACAAACACATGTTTGCGTTATTATTAATCATTTCAATATCTGTTTGTGGCATACACTTATATAACTGTTGTGGCTGATGATACAGATATTGTAGTGATTAAGATAGTTTTAGCTTGTTTTAAACTAAGAAATACAATTTTATAAAAACAATTATTTTACTTTATTATTAATTTTCAGGTACAATAAGTAAATCAATTTAGCATGCAAGGGTGTAATATCACAAGAGAAATTTTCACCTACTAAAAAAATCTGCCTACTTGCATATTCTGTGAGTGCTTAAATATTAGTCTTTACTTGTTTATTTTAAACTAGATGCAATTAAATGGGACTGGAAGATAAATAACAGAGTTATCCCACTTGTAAAGACTGACATAAATATATTGCTGCATAAGTAATAAAAAATGTCATTAGATGTATCTGCAAGCTACACTTTTAAAATAAATGGATTTTTTAGAATTGCTTTGAAATGATTATAAAACTTTATCAATATAATTTTTTATTTCTAACATTCTCTTTTATCTTTAAGACGACAACCAAAAACTTACGTGGGGAATATATAAATATATATATATATATATATATATATATATATATATATATATATATATATATATATATATATATATATATATATATATATATATATATATACATACATATATATATATATATATATATATATATATATATATATATATATATAAAATGTGCTCAGATTGATATTCTATAATAATAATAAGGTATAACTGTAACAACTGTTTTAAACAGTTGCGAAGTGCAATAACATAAGATATTGCACTGTAACAGCTCATTTTGTCTTTTGTTTGTGTTTTAACAAATAGTTTCTGCAAAATCCAGCTCTGTCTAGTTTGTTTTTGAAGTTATTTATTGAAATAGCTTCTATTATTTCTATGTGAATAAGAATTGACCCTAACTTCTATTGCTGTATGCTTTAACATAACACATAGCTGTCTTTTATAAATACATATATATATATATATATATATATATATATATATATATATATATATATATTTTTAATTATTCACCTCCCCAAGGCCCGAGGAGGCCACTGCAGTGGAGGAGGCTACTAATTTTTTGTTGTTGTTGTTGTTGTTGTAAATCGTGGTACAACCCTCTCAAGTCTTTAACTCCAAAACACGAACCTTGACAAGCAAGACCGCTGTGCGGAGACTTTAAGTTGAGGGCGGAACTTCGAGGGACGTGGTGGGAGTCGAACACCACTACCGCATATATATATATATATACATATATATATATATATATATATATATATATATATATATATATATATATATATATATATATATATATATATATATATATATATATATATATATATATATATATATACTTATTTACTTATATATATATATATATATATATATATATATATATATATATATATATATATATATATATATATATATATATATATATATATATATATATAAACTTTCTATAATAATCAGTTACCTATAAACTTTAAAATATATACACAAAAATATTTTTACTTGATGTTCTTTTACCAAGTTTTTCAAGATCAATAATGATGGATGAGGATTTAAGGATAGTAAAGCGAGAGTTAAATACAGGTGAGTTCTCATTTGATGAATTTGTTAGAACATTAGTATCAAGTTTAAATCGTGTGGCAGGTTCTTTGAAGCGATGAACCTAAAAATTATTATTTTTAATTTAAAACATTGAGAAAAACAAATTTAATGTTATTAAAATACTTACCATTGTTTTTCTACACAATAACTTTGTAGTCAGATTTCTTGAGAATACCTGTTTTATAAATGCCACTCGCACCTAAAAAATTTAAATGAAGCTAAAAATATTATTAAAAAAATCTTTTAACATTTTTAGCTAACTCTATTTTCAAAGCTAACTTTTTCACATTCTTGACATTTTTCTTGAGCATCTTGACATCAAGCAGTTTCTAGTTAGTAAAGATAATCAGTAGTCCAGCCATTTATTTACATTTCTTTTTTAAGAATTGCTCAAAAATCCTCAATAGAAAGAGCTTCAGCATTCTTAATAAATTTCTTTTTTAAGAATTGCTCAAAAATCCTCAATAGAAAGAGCTTTGGGCATTCTTAATAAATTAATTTTTTTTGAATTGGCAGTATCTTTTGTTTTTGTAACCAATATGTGACTAATTTAGGGCCAGGCCAAAAAACATTACCATCATTGTAATGTTCCTGAATAAATAAGATCAAACACTTGATAATACACTTTATAAAGTATTATTCTTGGTTAATCAGATTAGATCAAATGATTGGTTACCATTCCACTTTATCTAACATGGATTTTACTCACATCTTTTGGTAATAGCAAATAGCAAGCCAAAATAAGATCTTTCAACTTATATTTTGCTTTATCGTAATGCTAGACACCATTAGGCGTCTAAGTCACATCTTTAAATTAATATAATATAACATCACTAATATTACCAAGAGAAAATTGCTTATCAAGCAGTAGCTCTAGTAATTAACAACAAAATCAGAATTTTTATATTTTCTAATAAATATCTAAATTTTAAATAAGCTACAAACTGTTGCATGGGGGTATTGCTCAGTCTATTTATTTGTTTATGACATTAAATAGACTTCTTCATATTCCTCAACATTTCCCAAATTTTTTGGGAAATATTGAGAAATTGCTACAATTTAATTTTTCTAAAATCTATTTAAAAAAAAAAAAAACTTTTTTTTTTTTTTAAATAGATTTTAGAAATTATAACATAAATTATTTTAAATTTTTTTTTTATTTTATGTTATAAAATTGTTTCATCTATTAATATTATTATTATCATTATTATCATTTTAATTTTTATAGTAGCATACTTTTTAAAGATTTTAAACATTTTTGAGGGCATCATTTTTTTTTATTAAACAATCATAATTTAATAAATTACTTTATAACTAAAAAATGTCATACTTGCTTGTCTAAAATAATGTGAAATAGAAAAAAAACCAATCCCTGAAAAAAAAAGTTCCAATCATATATGAATTACTTTGAAACTTCAAATAAATTTTATAAACTTTTAAAACATATAAGAAATAATAATTCACCATAATTCCATTAATTATTGAAGTGAATTCAAGTGTGCCGTTTTCACTAATTGGAACTAAATACAGAATACATGTGACACCAAGAAGAGGGTATATTGCCAAAGCCGATCGAAGTGTTGCACTTAAAATAAAAATTAAAAGATTTAAAATATAAACTAAAAGATTTAAAATATAAATTAAAAGATTTAAAATATAAATTAAAAGATTTAAAATATAAATTAAAAGTTTTAAAATATAAATTAAAAGTTTTAAAATGAAAAATTAAAAGATTTAAAATATAAATTAAAAGATTTAAAATATAAATTCAAAGTTTCAAAATATAAATTAAAAGATTTAAAATATAAATTCAAAGTTTTAAAATATAAATTAAAAGTTTTAAAATATAAATTAAAAGATTTAAAATATAAATTAAAAGTTTTAAAATATAAATTAAAAGTTTTAAAATGAAAAATTAAAAGATTTAAAATATAAATTAAAAGATTTAAAATATAAATTCAAAGTTTTAAAATATAAAGAAAAAGATTTAAAATAAAAATTAAAAGATTTAAAATATAAATTAAAAGATTTAAAATATAAAGAAAATGATTTAAAATATAATTAACAGAATTAAAATATAAACTAAAAGATTTAAAATATAAAGAAAAAGATTTAAAATATAACTAACAGAATTAAAATATAAATTAAAAGTTTTAAAATATAAAGAAAAAGATTTAAAATATAAATTAAAAGATTTAAAATATAAATTAAAAGATTTAAAATATAAATTAAAAGTTTTAAAATATAAAGAAAAAGATTTAAAATAAAAATTAAAAGATTTAAAATATAAATTAAAAGATTTAAAATATAAAGAAAATGATTTAAAATATAATTAACAGAATTAAAATATAAACTAAAAGATTTAAAATATAAAGAAAAAGATTTAAAATATAACTAACAGAATTAAAATATAAATTAAAAGTTTTAAAATATAAAGAAAAAGATTTAAAATATAAATTAAAAGATTTAAAATATAAATTAAAAGTTTTAAAATATAAAGAAAATGATTTAAAATATAATTAACAGAATTAAAATATAAACTAAAAGATTTAAAATATAAAGAAAAAGATTTAAAATATAACTAACAGAATTAAAATATAGGGATGTACCGAAGCTTCGGCTTCGGCTTTGGCATGCCGAAGCTTCGGCAATTTTGCCGAAGCTTCGGTTCGGCCGAAGCCAGGTCAAATTTTTGCCGAATCTTTGGCTTCGGCAAAAAATTTAAAGTAATTAAAGTTATAAGCTACTGTTGTACAAGTTATAAAAATATGCTAATTGCCAGTGTCTAATTAAGTTGTAAATTCAGGAATACAGAGTTAAAGTTGGAGTCTATACCATATACTTAGTATTATTTACTCCCAAATGTCTTGTTATGGAGGGGATGATAATAAATAAGTAGAAATATTTTGAATATAATAGTAAAATTAAGGAAGGTCTTCATACACTTTGAAGGCTTCCAAGTGTGACTTAGATGAACTGAATCAGCATTTTTATGCAGAATAAAAACCTTATAATTTAAAACAAATTAAAACTTTTTAAAAATAAAATGGAAAAAAAACCTTAATTTGTATTATGTAACGAATTTATATTAATTTTTGTGTGGGATTACCGCTAATAGAAAAAAAATTGGTTTCAACATTTGACCTATAAACCTTAGTAATCTCACTTTAAAGAATATTAAAGATACGTTGCTACTATTTTAAATTCTGTGTATGTTAAATTTTATTTAACCATAATAATAAAAATTTACAAATTTTCATCGTAAGATTACAGAAATTGGTAAGGTGTCACTTATATAGTTACAAACTAGTCAATGGAGTGACACATAAAAAACATAAAGTTCTCAACAACAAAAAAGGAAGAAATGCAAATGAAATATAAATGAGGAGAATAAAAAAAGAAAAAAAAAGTCAACCAAAACTATATAAATTAAAAGAAAAAGAAAAACAATGATAATAATTATTCTTGCTCTTTTATTAATATTATGAATACTTCTAAATGGAATTTATATATTAAACATATAAACTTATATTCTGGTTTCTTCTTATGATATGAAGACTTTTAAATTTTATTTAAAATAAATTAAAGATTAAAGCTTTGATTACTTTGAGCTCTTATATTTATCATCAAAATTTATTTAAATTAAATAAACAATTTAAATCAAATAAATATCAGCATGCTCAGTCCCTCTTTATTTATAAATATAAAGTAAATAATAATATAATTATAAATAAAATATTTATAAAGTATTCTATTTATTATTTTATTTAAAGCTCACTCTACTGAGTTGTTAGATTACTATAGAAGTTTTTGCCACAGATAGTTAATATTTGATTTCAGATACTGATGCAGATTTATCCATTACAAAGACAGAAGAAGAATGAATACTATAATTTCAGAGTGTAAAAAATTAAAAGAAGCTTAAGAAAATGTTATGTAGTGTTAAATTAAAAATAATAAAAAAAAACAACAACAACTTAAAAGTGTGTAAAAAAGAAGTTAGAGAGAAATCTATCAATTGTACTTTTTTTTAGCAGCAGGTTCACAACAGTTGTAGTGGAATACAAAATGGTCTTAACTTAGGATTTTTTTTAGTTTAGAAATTGTTCGTTTAATGAATACAGAGAAGTAAAAAAAAGATCTTGAAATAAATAGCAATAAAAAGATAAAGTGTGTTTGTAAGATTTTTTATGTTGTAGGTACAACTAGATCAGCTAAGAGTGTTTATTTAGAGAAAGAGTGATCAAGTGTAAAAGATTAATTTACTTGAGTAATATTCAGAGATTTTTATCCACTCTTAACAAAAGGTGCATTAAAAATAAAAATAAAATATACAGCACATGAAAAGATGCGTAACAGTAATTTATGGGGAATAAAATTTGAGGATGTTCAGCTAGCACACTATAACTAGATAGATCAAACAAGATGATTAAATAGAGGATTAAAAATTAGATGATTAGATAGAGGATTAAAGAGAAACGATGTTTACATAGAAGAACAGTATGGCTATAAAAGATCAAAAAAATAGCAATAATCTTAGAAGAATATTGGGAATAGTTGGAAATATATGTGAGTTACTGATATTGTCCACTATATAACATTAATATGGTTTGCACACAGAAAAAGTAGAATTAGAAGTAGGAAAATTTGGGGAGAATATTTTAAAAAAGCTTAAGTTAAAAAAAAAACACTAGGTGCGGTAAAGTATCAGAAACAACATAATGAGAAACTTTCAAACAGGGGCGCTGAGAGCTTTTGCCCTGCCTGGGGCAGCAACCCTGACTTGTGTCCTCATTTTTATACATTTTTTCTATATTATTAGTCAAGGATCTTAGCTTTGGAAACTTTTTTGTTTTACACCCCTGCTGATCTGAATGCTGATTAAATTTTAAGCATATATAGTGCCGAAGCTTCGGCTTCGGCCGAAGCTTCGGCTTCGGCAAAGTGGCTTCGGCCGAAGCTTCGGCTTCGGCAAAATTTTAGCTTCGATACATCCCTATTAAAATATAAACTAAAAGATTTAAAATATAAAGAAAAAGATTTAAAATATAAACTAAGAGATTTAAACTACAAATTAAAAGATTTATAATATAAATTAAAAGCTTAAAAGTATAAGTTAAAATGTTTAAAATATAAATTAAAAGATTTAAAATATAAAGAAAATGATTTAAAATATAATTAACAGAATTAAAATATAAACTAAAAGATTTAAAATATGAAGAAAAAGATTTAAAATATAAATTAAAAGATTTAAAATATAAATTAAAAGTTTTAAAATATAAATTAAAAGATTTAAAATATAAATTAAAAGATTTAAAATATAAATTAAAAGTTTTAAAATATAAATTAAAAGTTTTAAAATATAAAGAAAAAGATTTAAAATATAAATTAAAAGTTTTAAAATATAAATTAAAAGATTTAAAATATAAATTAAAAGATTTAAAATATAAATTAAAAGTTTTAAAATATAAAGAAAATGATTTAAAATATAATTAACAGAATTAAAATATAAACTAAAAGATTTAAAATATAAAGAAAAAGATTTAAAATAAAACTAACAGAATTAAAATATAAACTAAAAGATTTAAAATATAAAGAAAAAGATTTAAAATATAAACTAAGAGATTTAAACTACAAATTAAAAGATTTATAATATAAATTAAAAGCTTAAAAGTATAAGTTAAAATGTTTAAAATATAAATTAAAAGATTTAAAAAGTTAAAATAATAAGTTAATTTTTTTGTAATAAATATTCCTAAGACATGTAACTATAAATATATCTAATAATAAGTCATTAAGAGATTATTAAATAACATATACTTATATAGTTTATATTTACTCAATTTATTTAACATTATCATTAGATAAAGTTTAGTACATCTTAACAATGTTATCTCCACAAAAAAAATTGTACCACATTGTGGTTTCAAATTAAAAAAAAAGAAGAATATTAAGGTTACACAAAATAACTTTTATTTTTACATTTATGTTACATTTCCCAAACTAATAAACTTTCAACATGGACAAGTGATGTCTGCAATATGGTTGACTATACTGGTAGCAATAGGTCAAAGAACATAGATCATTCAAAAACGGTGTTCTGTCTTAGATGTTGACATCTATGGATACAGGTATCATTTGATATGATACCCAGATACCACAACCTAGAGCATACTAGAATTTGTAGTACAAATTTTAGTTCAAAAAGCTTTAAAACCTACAATATCATTAAAGGGTCAAAAAAGAAAATAGTTTCACCGCAATGTTACTCATAAGCAATTGCTATTAAGTTTATCTAGTCATAATGAAAAAATTCTTAATAAACTTCATTTTAATTAGAAATGTCTAGAATCAACTGGAAAATGTTAACAACTCAACTGATCTATTGCATTGAGAACATTTAATAACTATAACAACTCTAGTGTAGATAAGGTTGTTCAGTTATCTAGCATTCACTAAAAATTTGATCAACAATAAGAAACCTTAATGACATAAACAAAACAAAATAAATTAAACTTATTACATACTATATCCAATTTTTAATTCAATGTTTTATTTTTTCTTCTTTTCATATGCCACAAATAAATTTTTTGAAGAAAAAAATGCTATAGGAATTTTTTGGGAATTTATTTAAACATCCAAATACAAAAACAAACCTCAGTGCCAAATGCATTTTCTAAAATGTGTGAGTAACCAACTCTATGAACACTCTATGAATCAAACCAACTTCTTTATTGTCATTTGGTATTCAGGATCAACAATTAACAATGGAATAGACAATAATAATGATTGCAAAAGATATCAGGATGAAATTAACAAAAGGTGCTTATCTTCACTAAATTTTTTTTTCATACATGATACAGTTCATCATGACTGACTTTAAATAAACATGCTTGATATGGAATAAAATAATCAAGAATATCAATCGATCAGTGACTATCTGTTCAACCAATCACAATGTTACAATAGACTTGATCTAATTGAAAATATTTCATATTACTGAAGATAGTATAATCTTAACTTTTCATAATGCTAATGACATGCAATATTACTGAAGAAAATATAATCTTAACTTTTCATAATGCTAATGACATGCAATATTACTGAAGAAAGTATAATCTTAACTTTTCATAATGCTACTGAAATGCAATATTACTGAAGAAAGTATAATCTTAACTTTTCATAATGCTAATGACATTCAATATTACTGAAGAAAGTATAATCTTAACTTTTCATAATGCTAATGACAGGCAATATCAGACAAACATAAAGCAACTCTAACAAATGGTGATAAAAGTTAATAACGCAGTACTTTATTAAGAGATTAAAAATTAAAATTGACACAATAATCAAGTGGCCAAATAAAACAACCTAGATACTATCATCTAAATAAAGAAAAAAAACTGAACTTTTTGATTCATTACCATCAAAAACAACTGTGCTTAATATTAGTACACAAAAGTCCAGCAAAACACAACTAACATACAGAACCTGAAACATAGTAATATCACATGAGATCAGCAAGATTTACAAAAAAACAAAACAATTAACATACAAATATCACATCAGGTCAGCAAGATTTACAAAAATAACAAAACAATTAACATACAAAACCTGTAACATAAAAATTTGCAGGCCTAAACTTATTGAAACAAAAACATATTTGTTAATGTAAAGTTTGATAATTATTGAGTATGTATATACTGTAATATGTACACAGTTCAGAAATAACAAATTGCATTTAAATCTTAAAAAAAATTAAGAAAAAATTGTTAAAAATCAACTTAATAATAAATTACGTGAAACAACTAATTTTGCATGAATGAAAACTTTCCTAGAACTAAAGTATTTATACTATTGTAGTTTTTTTGGATTTATAATGAGATTTACAATAATTATAGTATTTGAAACAACTGTCACAGTTATTTAATTGAAACAATATTATATTTGTGGTGCAAAAGTAGTATATTGATTTTTTACCTAACAGCAAAAAACTGTGCATTAATCTCTATTTTCTTTTATTATTGACAAAAAGTTGGTTTTCAGTTAATGTAATATACAGCTTTTCAAAGAAAGTATCCTTAACAGAATAGAAAATGGTTGATGAAATAGAAAAATTATCTTTTATTTGAATAATTTCTTCGTGCTTTCACTTTTATAAAACCATGGTTAAAATCATGTTAAATAAAAAAATCAAATGAAACACATGAACAACTAACATATAGAACAGGTGATAGAATTTAAGTATCTAAGACATGATGCTCAATACTAAAGACCTATTCATCGCACAACCATAAGCCGTGACCTATTTTAATACTTTAAAAAAATCCGAAGATGAAAAGCTCACATTGAAAAACCTACATTTTAAAATTAATCTTGTTTATTCTTAATTCTCCAATAAATTTGTATATTTATTAGAGATACAAGAACAATTAATGTTTTTTATATTACAAATTTTTGTAAATAATTTTAATACTCTGTATCTTTGCTTACTTGTTAGAGTGTTAGCAGTATATAATATATTTAACTCCTAACATTGGTACATACAACTCCTAACATTGGTACATACAACTCCTAACATTGTATATCATGTAAATGTTAGGAAATGTTAAGACTATATATATATATAGACACACATTGTGTGTGTCTATATATATATATATATATATATATATATATATATATATATATATATATATATATATATATATATATATATATATATATATATATATATATATATATATAGACACACATAATGTAAAACATTATTATTATACCACTAAAAATAATTACCCAAACTTCTTCAAATTACTGTATGGCCTTATCTTGTTGAAAACACTTCTGGTGACAATGAACAGAATAAATATAAAACAAATGGTATTCACCTAAAAAAATTTTAAATACTTCTCCTTATATTATATTGATAGCTAATTTATTTCCGTTTTTTGACAAAAACATTGAAAATTTTACATAACAAAATAGATATAGAACCATAAATGAATTGTTTTATAACAGTTAACTTAAAAAATGGGTAACCAATTAAAAAGAGATGGGTAACCGTGGATTGATGGGTAACCAATTAAAGAGAGATGGGTAACCATGATTGATGGGTAACCATGCAAAAAATATATTGATATTAATTGGTCTCAAGAGAGACCAATCAATATCAATATACTTTTGCACGGTTGGATTAAATTATTTCAATTTCTGCATACTTTATACAGACTCATACTAAACTAATGGTGAATAAATCCAAAACAGAATAGACATTATGAAGAAAAAAAATTCAAAAAGAACTCTATCAAACTATATATTTTCCTGTAGGTGTAACCAAGAGGTAAGAGAACTGCCAGTAATAGAAACATGGATAGAAGATTTTTCTAAAACTATGAACTCAGCTGATATAAACAAACTAAACAAAAATTTAATTGAAAGTGTTGGGTTATTCATCAAGCCATATCAAGTATATACCAAATCAAAATCAATCAAAAAATGCTTTGTACATATTTTTAATGGGGAGTGGGTATAAATAATTTTTCCTACCAAAAGTATAGCTGCCACTGGTCCTTTATAAATCCATGAATGGTATTTGGTGATAATAACTTCTTCTCTTTTAAATATAGTATCAGGCAGTATACCACAACTAAAAAAAGCCTATATATATATATATATATATATATATATATATATATATATATATATATATATATATATATATATATATATATATATATATATATATCGATGTATGTACTGAAGCCCCCGGCAGCAGGCTATTTGACGTTTGGTGAGTATGACATCATCATGCTCACCTAACTCAGCAGTATAAGATATATATATATATATATATATATATATATATATATATATATATATATATATATATATATATATATATAAGGCTGTCCCAAAACAATGGATAAAGTTTTTTTTGTTGAAAATGTTGTCGCACCCTCCTAAAAGTTTCTTTATTTATAAAACTTAAATAATATTTAGTGGTCGAGCCTGTTGGTATCATTAAAAAGATCTCAAAGTGTAAATTCTACAGATATGTTTTATTCCGGCTTGGTTGGGAAGTGGGTACAATCGCACTTGATAATTGACCATGCAAATACTTAGTTGCAAAAAACCGGCCTGATTTTTTAGTCGTTTTGAGAACACTTGAGTTTATATATGTTTCCATGTTTGTCCGAAAAACAATTATAAGTTATAAAGTTATAATTGTTTTTAAAAAGTTATAAAGTTATAATTGTAAACAATTATAAGTTATAAAGTTAATTCATCATAAACTTGAATGTTCTCAAACATCTTGGTGCAGAAGAATAAAAAAGAATATTTGTGAACACTAAAAACTTGCCAAATGTATAAACAAACTAATTCAGTGGTGTACACTGGATTTTTAGATGTTTGAGTTTTAACACTTACATGTATTTTGCATACTCCAAACTTTTGTATGTTCATACTTTTGTCAAATGAGAATGTTTTGCAAAAAGTTGTGGTGATTGGAGCTTGATTGGGACAAAAAAAAAACAATTTTCGGGCCCACACAGCCTTTAATGTGGGAGCTACAAGTTGACAAAATAATTTCTTTAGTATTTTTATCTAAGTTTATATTCATCAACAAATTTCAAATTTCATGCAATAACCTCTTAGTTTTTAGTTTTTATGACCCTACAAAGTTTACAGCCCCCATAAATTGAGGGGGGTTAAAACTTTATATGGTCATAATTTTCGAAAAATAAGAAATTATTGGATGAAATTTGAAATTTGTTGATGAATATAAACTTAGATAAAAATACTAAAAAAATTATTTTTTTAGTATTTTTTAGCAAAAATAAAGTTCAAGAGTATTCTGTTGAAATATTTTTAAATATTTTTTTATTTGAGTTTAGCTATATTTTCGTTGAGATTTCTAGCATAAATTGTTTTAAGAATAAATTATCAAATGAACAATTTGATAATTTATTCTATTCAAGACTCATTCTTGGGGCCACATCTACCAATCTTAATTATAGTATGTAATTTTTTTTTTTTAATATAACCTTAATTATTTTACTTTTTGACAGAAAGATCAGTAAAGATGCCAAAGAGTAGAGTGACACGAAGCAAGGACAGTATTTTTTCACTGTGTAAAGAAGTTGCCTGTTGCAGCAGTGTATGCCATGTGATGACCAATTAATGCCATTCTGGACAAAGCCGCAGCTACCCGTTTGCCAGAAGCAACACATGATTCAGAAAATCAAAGATCTGTATAGTGAGCAACAACATTTGATGAGCTCTCGGGCCAAAAGTAATGAGAAAGATAAACAATCAAAAACAGTACACTAAAAAATTTGATAACCTGTTTGATATCAGCCATGCAAATGCAGCTCAGCTAATCAGTAATGAGGAAAATAGACTGTTTTTGAAATTCAACAAGAATCTAGAAGTGGTTGTATTGAACCAGTTGACAGAAAGCTCTTGGGTCAAGAAAAGTGCTCTGCAAAACATCGGGATCAGTTTGCCAAGCAAGTTGCATCAGCAGCAGCAGTAGCCATATCAAGTCAGGAGATAGATTGTGCAGCATTGTTAGACAGTGAAAACTTGTCGGAAGATGACAATGACGACTTTGTAGTTACAACGCCAAGCAGGAGCGGTACTGCTAAGAAAATAAAACGTCAAAATGTTTTTTCCCTAAAGGTGACTGCAGTTCTTGATAAGACAAACCACAAACCTTCAAAGATCAACCATGATTCTTGCTTCCATAGTGAATGAAGTAGGATATTCAACATCATCTACAGTTCTGTCATAGAGCACATTTCATTGGAAGCATCAACACTTACGTTGTGAGGCTGCTCAACAAATTAAGAATGACTTCATTTCTTGCAAGTTAGTAGTACACTGGGATGGGAAGTTGATGTCTGATTTAACTGGTGATGACAATAATCAGGCAATTGCTGCCTATTTGCCTATTGCCTATATTCGTCCCTTATTGATGACAGTATCAAGCTCGTAGGAGTGCCAAAATGGACCTCTGGCTCTGGTCAGATTGCAGCAGACGCAGTTTATGATTTGTTCATGTTGTGGAAATGTGAAAATCTTATCATCGGTATGTGCTTTGACACCACTGTGTCAAATACAGGCAAACAAAAAGGAGCTTTCACATTGTTGGAGGTTGCTGTTGGATATAATTTGCTATGGTTGGATGATTGTCATGCAGACACAACATGCTTAAAGTCCTACTCTCAGATGTATTTGGCGTGTGTTTTGGACCATCAACCGGGCCTGATATACTCGCTTTCAAGAGATTTCATGATAAGTGGTTTGCAATTCATCCCATTCCGATAGATCATTAAGCTCCTTTGATTAATGATCATGATGACCTAAAGACCTTTATTGAAAGAAAGTTAAATCTTGAAAGTCATTCAAGATCTAAGTTTTTTCATATCATTCAAGATTTAAGTTTTTTCATATCATTGCCAAGCAGCTTATCAGAACTACCAATATCTTGCAACTTCTTTCTAACTGCTGGTATTGACGACAGTTTCCTTGAAGTGGATGTAGAAACCTGGCCAAATGTTGCATCATTCAAGATTGCAAAATCAGTTGTAAAGAAGTTAGTGTGTGTCAATGATTGTGCAGAGCACAGAGTAGCCCTTATCCAGACATTCAATGAGTCAGTTATTAAAAATGAGGAACAAAAACAGTATCTGCTGCAAGTGGTTGAAAAACACAGAAATAACTATGAACACTGTGTGGCAATCTTGCAGATATGTAGAAATTTATATTATTCAAAAAGCAAGTAACATTGTAAATATGTGGAAAAAATTCTGTAACTGAGTATTAGTTATTACACATTTTTTATGATTTTGTCTAAATTACTGTTTTGAACCCTACCATCTGATACAGTAAAACATTATATGTGTAGAATCTACACATTGAGATCTTTTTAATGATACTAAACCAAGATAAGTTGAATAGCAACTTCATAAACAAACCAAGATAAGTTGAATAGCAACTTCATAAACAAACCAAGATAAGTTGAATAGCAACTTCATAAACAAACCAAGATAAGTTGAATAGCAACTTCATAAACAAACCAAGATAAGTTGAATAGCAACTTCATAAACAAACCAAGATAAGTTGAATAGCAACTTCATAAACAAACCAAGATAAGTTGAATAGCAACTTCATAAACAAACCAAGATAAGTTGAATAGCAACTTCATAAACAAACCAAGATAAGTTTAAAAAAAAAGGCATTGTGCTCTATTTACGCTAACAGTTAATAATTTCAAGGACCTTGCTGGACCTCTAAATATTATCCAAATTTTATAAAATTTTGCAGGTGATATCATGTGACCATAACAAAACTTTTAGGAGGGTGAGACCTAATACTTTTCAAAAAATATATTTTTGGGACACCCTAATTTATATATATATATATATATATATATATATATATATATATATATATATATATATATATATATATATATATATATATAAATTTATATATACTATATATAAATTTATATATACTATATATAAATTTATATATACTATATATAAATTTATATCAACTCTCAGAATTAGGAAAAATGAGGTCTGCAATAATTTGCCAATCCTTAATCTTTTAGATTGCATTTTTTAGTCTGCATAAGGTCGGCAAAAAAAATTTAATACAAAGACCTTACTATAAAATATTGAAATGAGATCAGCAATTCTTGGCCGACCTCAAACAACTTGAATTTGGCATTTAGGTGGAATTTTTTTTTTAAATTGATCCTTGAGTTAGACGAAATACTATCTGCAATGCTTTTTTAATAGTAAGCTGTAATATTTTTTGTATCCAAAAAAAATCTTTGCACATTTATTATAGCAATATTGTAGGTGTGTTAATGTTCTTGTGCTAAAATTGTTCCACAGGGAAGCATTATGTAAACATACACAATTTGACTGGAATAATTTTACTTTAACTAGGCTTGAACACCTGTAAAAGTACCTTATTAATATATTTGTTCAAGTATATAAATTTTTTTATCTTTTTTTATATCCATGTCATCTGATACATCATTTTTTACAATATGACCAAGGTATTTAAAGCTGTCAGCAAAATCAAGTTTGCAACCTGCTATACTCAATTTTGGAAATAACAACAACACAATTTTTGATTTTTGTTTGGATTAAAAACCATACAAACTGTCTTCTTTGTGTTAAAAGACATATTAATTAAAAAAGCTTTGTCTTTAACTGCATTCAATAATTTCTGCAGAGAACCAAGATGGAGCTATAAGTACTATGTCATTAGCATAAGCATGAATATTGAGAAAAATCTCTCCTATGTCATTAGCATAAGCATGAATATTCAGAAAAATCTCTCCTATGTCATTAGCATAAGCAAGAATATTCAGAAAAATCTCTCCTATGTCATTAGCATAAGCATGAATATTCAGAAAAATCTCTCCTATGTCATTAGCATAAGCATGAATATTCAGAAAAATCTCTCCTATGTCATTAGCATAAGCATGAATATTGAGAAAAATCTCTCCTATGTCATTAGCATAAGCATGAATATTCAGAAAAATCTCTCCTATGTCATTAGCATAAGCAAGAATATTCAGAAAAATCTCTCCTATGTCATTAGCATAAGCATGAATATTCAGAAAAATCTCTCCTATGTCATTAGCATAAGCATGAATATTCAGAAAAATCTCTCCTATGTCATTAGCATAAGCATGAATATTCAGAAAAATCTCTCCTATGTCATTAGCATAAGCATGAATATTCAGAAAAATCTCTCCTATGTCATTAGCATAAGCAAGAATATTCAGAAAAATCTCTCCTATGTCATTAGCATAAGCATGAATATTCAGAAAAATCTCTCCTTTATTGCACCCAACCCTTATATTTGAAATTTTAAAAACTAAATTACTAATATAAAACCTAAATAGTAATGGCGATAAAATACTACCTTGCCATACACCATTTCCTATACTAATAGCTTTCTGCCAACTAATACACAATTTCCAGTTACTGTACCAGAATGCAAGCAGACTCACAATACTTTTTGATATTCTTTGATCTAATAGGTTACAGAACAGAAGCCAGTAATCAATGTTATCAAATGCTTTATTAAAATCTATAAATGAAGTAAACACATGACTACCTATATCTCTAGATGTACACATGATTACCTCTACCTCTGACTACCTCTAGTAGTTAAGAGTTTTCTTTTCATAAATTGTGCATAAAGTTCTAAAATGCTTCTGTTTAAAACCAAACTGGTAATCATCTAAATTGTCTGGTATATTTATTTTTTGTAACAAAATATTTTCAAATATTTTTGTATAGCTGAGGAAAGTGCAACTGCCCTGTAATTGTTCACATCAGTAAGGTTGGTCACTTTGCACTTCACCAAAGGAATAACTAAGGATTCATAAAACTTGGATGGTAATTACCCATGCCTTAAACAGAGGTTTATATATATATATATATATATATATATATATATATATATATATATATATATATATATATATATATATATATATATATATATATATATATATATATATATATATATATATATATATACCTATACATACATATATGTATATATATATATATATATATATATATATATATATATATATATATATATATATATATATATATATATATATATATATATATATATACATACATATATGTATAAATTAGTAGAATATCACTTAACAAAACTTTTTTATTTAACACTGTGTTTCATCAATAAAGATTCATCAGAAATTCTGAAAATTCAAAAATGAGGACTGGGAGTCCCATATTAGGGACATGAGAAGGTGGTATGAATGATATGAGAGGTATTACAATGTTGTTGCTGTGATGTAGTGGTTAAAGCATTAAACTAGTAATGGAAGAGTTCAAAGTTTAAAGCCCATTTAAAGCCCATTAGCCTTGTTGATAAGGTTGACAAACCAACTCATTAAATGCTAATCTCTCAGACTATTTCCTAGGGTGGAGTAAATTTTAATTTTTTGTTTAGAAGTAATTTAGCCTGGATGTACAAAAGTTGTCTATTCATATCAGAAATACTCTGGAAAATTGTTTTTCAAAAAAGTATGTCATGTTTGGTCTCAAATGAAGTGAAATAGTATAAAAAGAATAATAAATGTTTAGAAAAAAAAATATTACTTTTGATTTTACTACATTAAAAAAGAAAACTTTTAACTAAAAATAAAAAATGTGCTAGTATATTCAAGTTTTATTTTTAATATTTTTTTTTTAATTGCTTTTTATAAAATGACTATTATTTTTGAAATTTTTCTATAATTTTGCTTCATTTGAGATCCAACATAACATACTTCTGAAAAAACTTTCTTTTTTTATTGTATTAGGGATATGTTAAATATTCAAAGGTCTTGGGGCGCCTTGAGATAATTTCCTAGAGTATTGATATTTTTCCAGAATATTCTTAAAAAAACTTTAAATTCACCGCATCCTACTGTTCACCACACCCTACTGTTCACCGTACCCTACTGTTCACCGCAACTGTTGCCTGTAATAAGATTATGAAGTCTTGTTAGAGTTTATTTATTATATAAAAAAAAATCTAACTCATTCTCAGGTCACAGTCACAGTCACTTATTCTCTGATCATCTAATTATTGAGAACATTAGAGAAAAGAAAATTATTCACCCAAAAAAGAATTGTCGTTATTTTCTCATGTTGCCTTTCTAAATTTTGTTTTTATGTTTAAAAAAATCAGAATCAAAACAAAAAAATTTTGAATCAAGTTATCTACATGGGAGCTTTTAAGAAGATGCTAAAACAGAGTCAACTTTAAACAAACTTGTTGTTGACTCCAAAGTTTTACCGCACAAACGTTGCTTAGGTAAAGTTTAAGATGATAAGTGATATTAACTCTAAAATCTTAATGAATTTTATTGTAACCAATTTACTTTTGTAAAACATATGAAAATCTAAAACAAAGAATTCAAGTAACAATTAATCTATTATCTTATTAAAACTTATTATCTCACTATTTTTTGAAAATATTAGAGACATTTTGGTGAGGCATTGTTATGTTTTACTAAAATGATAATTGTTTTAGTTTTAATTTTAAAAAATTGTTTTTTGAATGATAATTTTGTTATATTCTTAATTTTATAACAAATTATAACAAAATTATCTTTTTTGAAGTTTTATCAAAATATCTTAAGAATATTATCAAAAATATTCAAAAAGACCCCCTGAATGGATTTTATGATAAATCTTGATAGCATAGTATTAACATGGAAACGTAATAACAAAGTGGAAACCATAACAAAACTTTGTAACTAAGATCATCTTAATAACATAATAACATAGTGGAAACCATAACACAACTTTGTAACTAAGATCATCGCAGTAACATAATAACATCATAACACAACTTTGGAAATCATAACACAACTTTGTAACTAAGATGAAATTTTTAACATGTCATAATAAAATAAAAATAACCATAGAAAAAAAAACAAAGGATAACAATAAAGACATATTATGAAACTTACAAATAAGCATCATTTGTTCAAAAAACTTACTAATATGCCTCATTTATTTGTTCAAAAAAGACATAAAGCAACACTCCATGAATCAATGCTGGGAAACCTAAACAAATTATCATAATTTTAATGAAAATCTAATTATACAGATAATAAAAAATATTAATGAGAAAAAGATGAGAAAAATATTTTTACCCCATCCAATAAAACAGTAGAAGAACTGAGTTTTTTTACCAGACAATGTATTAAAAACAGAGCATAACTTAAAACATATGTTAATTCCTTCGTTTAACATCCATGTGAACACAGCTGTATATATATAATAAGCGAGAAAAGAAAAGAATGTACACAGCCACTATAAAAAAAGTTTTTTATAACATAATAGTTTAAAAAATTATTTTTTTAAATAAAAAATAAAACTTTGGCTTCATAAGTGCACACCATTTCATTATAACAAAAAATTTTATTTGCAAAATTTTAAAATAAATAATTTAAACAATTATTTTATGTATTTTATATAAACATTAGGGGTGTACTAATGAATTCTTTTTTGTCAATATCAATGTCAATTTTTTTCAATGTCAATGCATTTAGGCAAATACCAGTACATCAGTATTGACCCTATATCTAAATTTATAGTCTACTGCTAAATATATGTTTTTTATTTTTACTTTTTTACTTTTGATGAAACTTTTAAACTAAAATCTATGAATTAAATTAAAATTGAAAAAAACAAAATATTTTTCTAAACTCTAACTTAATTCTAATTCTAGTAATAATAATATTACCACCATACAAGAAACATTTAAGTTATTATATATCAGACATTTAAGTTATTATATATCATAAATAACTTAAACCTAAATATTTCTTAGTATGATAGTAGTGTAAAGATTATATTTCACCTCTTATATTAAGTGATATGTAGTTTTACATTTAACTATTCATATCACAGTTGTTTAAATTCAATTTTTCACATTAATGTTACACATATATTGCAGCTTAAAGTTTAAACATGAGGAGTTTGCTGATATATTTTTTAAGCGTATTAACTAAAAATTTGAAATCAGAAGTTAGTTACTTGATACATTTTGCATACATGTTCTAAGCGGAGCTGCCAAGAGCTGTCATGCTGCCTTGGACAGCAATCCTGATTGGTGCCCTTATTTATCAAATTTTTCCTATATTATATGTGAAGGACTTTTCTTTTTTTTTTTTAGGTACCTACGTTTCATTAGGCGCCCCTTGGATATCTGCTGCCTGGGACAAACTGTCTCTCGCGACCCCCTTCCCCTTGACAGCACTGGTTCTAAAATACAACAGCTCAATGTTGAAGGCTACTTTTTGTTATAATTAACAAAACAATGACTTACTCTAATTTGTTGGATTTTGTATAGGATATCATCATGATAAAAAAAAAATAAAAAATTTGAAAACAGATTGGTCAATAACATATTTTTATGAATGAAAAACTTGATTGTGGATGGAAGTCTAAAATAAATATAAAGGTTTATATTTATTAAGTTATTAAGGTTTAAGTAATATATATAAAAACAACATGAAAATAAGATTATAATAGTATTCATATTCATTTAAGAATTTTTTCTAAAAAAACTGTGAATATAAACTCACTCAAGTTCAATCAGCAGAATAAGACCAATTCCAGAAAAAATTGTAGACAATCCACGAAGTATAAACTCACAATATATACTCATTTGCACCTTCTATTCAATTTTTTTTATTAATTAATTGTTTAAAAAGACAACAAACAAAAAAAGACAAAATAAAAATTATAATAAATAAAATAACTATTAAAATTACCTGAAGTTTTAACAAAAAAGAAATATCATTTTCTGTACTATTATTCAATACATGTTTTAGGGTTGAGTTTATGTATTCTTTAGTTGCATTTTTATCAAACACACTTGAATTAGATAATTTTATTGGGATAGCTCTGCTAAATCCAACATTCACTGTATATAAATTTTAAATAAGTTAATATTACATTTTATGAAAAAAGTTATGTGTATATATATATATATATATATATATATATATATATATATATATATATATATATATATATATATATATATATATATATATATATATATATATATATATATATATATATATATCAATGTATCAACACTCTGCGCATGTTTTACAGTAAAAAAATAAAAATAAAACATTCACTAAATTTTTATTTAAAAAATAAAAAAATAAAAGCATTCAGAAATTTTTTAAATACATTCTAATCTTTTAATTTGTATTTTTGTGATTTTTTAAAAAAACAATAAATTTAATTAGTTTCCCCAATAAAATTATTGCATTTTCAGGCTTGGTGGGGAAGTGGGTGCAATCGCACTCTATT